CAGTGTTGCCAATTCAGCCATTTTATGGCTAAAACTAGCATATTTCGGTGCTGACATGGCCACTAGATTTTACATCTAGCAACTAGCTATAAATCTAGCATATTAAAAAAAAATATTTGGCATATAACTACTTTTTTGCTTTACAAGAATATTCAACAAAAAAAAGCATTTTTCATTTTATTTTAGGGAATTAGTGATAAACCAACTAACTTCCCACACAAATAAATGTTTAAACTACATACATAATTCCATAGACAAGTTCAATTCTTTGATATCGTTTCTAAGTTTATTCGTTAACGTTTTTTAGTTTAATTTAATTGTGTACATACTAATTAAATACAAATTTGAAATGGGTAAGCCTCAATACACTCAGAAGTTCCGAAAAGAATGGTTGCAGAATACATTATTTAAAGATTGGTTAGTAGCAGTTGAAGGAGATGATTGTAAAGGACGGTGTCGGTACTGCAAAACTGAGGTAAATGCTAAATTTTATGATATTAAACAACACGCCAAAACTTCAAAACACATTTCGGCTACAAAATTATTATCCAGTTCAAGAAGTTTAACGGATTTCTGTAAACCTCCATCAATAAAAGTTAATGAAGCTGAAGCAAGTCTGAGCTTATTTATCGCAGTACACTGTTCAATCTTACCCATCGACCATTTGGGAACTCTTTGTCATAGTACATTTGGCGACAGTGTAGCTGCTAAGGATTTTAAGCTACACAGAACCAAATGCACAAATATTATTATTAATGTTTTCGCACCTCATTTCGAAAGTTCCCTGATGCAAAGCATTGGTAAAAATCCATATAGTATCCTGATAGACGAATCAACAGATATCAGTGTTACTAAATTTCTCGGCATTACAGTAATATATTTTGACCGAGAAATGGGAAAAACTATTTCTACTTATTTATCATTGGTTGAAATCACAAACTGTGATGCTCAATCAATTACTGATGCGTTAAAGGATGCAATTCATAATAAAGGGCTGCAATTAAAAAACTTGGTAGGAATAGGAACGGACAATGCTTCGGTTATGGTTGGTGTAAATAATGGAGTTTACCAAAAACTTAAATTAGAAATCCCATCTCTTATATTAATTCCATGTGTGTGTCATTCTCTGCAACTTGCAGTGTCAAGTGCTGCATCTGAAGTACTGAGCTCCGATCACGAATTATACCACGTACTACGTAGGTATAATATATTAATATACGTAAAATATTGATCAACGTCGTTATATTCTTATTGCTTACTGTAACTTGTTACTTGTAAGTTGATTTTCATAAATTTATTTTAGTTTCTTATGAACTTCAACTACGTATGTAGTTAATACTTACCCTTTAGTAGAGTGGTATTCAGGAATATTATTAATTATATTTATATAGGTATTTAATGTATTGGGTAGGTACCTACAATTGTTTTGAATAAAAACTAATACAATTGTAATTTTTTAAAATACAAAAACTTTTTTTTTTGTTACAGTTTTATTGATCAAACCAAACTTAAACCAATTGTCTTTATAGTTTATATAAAACTAATTTAGAACAATAAATTAATAAAACCATCATAAAAATTTTAAAATCTTATATATTATACAAGGTGGAACAGAGAGACCTGACAAATGAAATAGGTAACTTTTGTTCTAATCAATATTTTTAATTAGGAAGTAACTCATTAATTTGAAAAGTAAATACATTTTTAATAATAAATTAGATTTTAAAAAAATATACTAAACCTTATATACAAATTGTCTAATTATACCTTATTTACAAATTGGAATGTTGAATTTTTCAAAAAAAATTGTACATCAGATTAAACATTTATTTTTTTCAGTTTTAAAAAATAAAAATAAAAAATGCTATATTATATAATGAGTCAATCAATAATTATACATTATTATAAAAAAAATATTGAGTATAACAAAAGTTATTTTATTTATTAGGTTTTCCTGTTGCACCCTGTATTTAGGATGTAGGTACTAAACGATTATTGAGATATAACAATAACCATAAAATAAGTGTTAGATTCTTTGGGTATCTAACAGAAATTCCTTTAACCTGAAACAATATATCAACAATTTATTGAAATGAATTATAATATTATAGATATAAAAGCATCAAGCAAACAGCAAAAGCAATAAAAACCCTGTTTTAAATGTTTATTTAAAGTAAAATATTATGTATTACATAATTTTGACTGTTTTTTCTTTTCCCTGGATAACTTTTTGCACTTGAGATTTTCTTGGTAACTATACTGTCTCATTCGCATTTGAATATAATAAACAATTAGTTCAGTAGTAACTTCTACCAAGTGTAAGCTACATGAGAATTTAAAATTAATATCCTTTGTTATGTCACTTATAACTTTTTTAAATACATCTAAATCACCACAATATTTAGCAAAAGAATGTTCAACAGATTTCAAAAAATCAAACAAATATCCATTAGGATGTACTAATAAACCTCTAGATTTGGCAACAACGAGTTCTCCTGCAGAGTGTGTAACAACACCATTATTTAAAAACGCAATGCATTTGCTACATTTTTTGTGTTTAAGTATTTTCTTGGTTACATACCCACAAACATAATAAATTATGCAATCCTGTACACTAGATTCACCATCTGAATCAATAATAGGAAGAACATCACATGCTTCCCATTCATTGTTTTCCACAAGACTATCTAGTTTTATTTTTAATTTTTCAATTTTTTCCCATCTTTCTGAGGGTTTTTCATGAAAAATAT